TGGGAGGGTCAGAGAGCGCTCAGAATTCATCAAAAATATCTTAATATGTGTTCCGAAGATGAACGGAGGTTTTACGGGTTTAGAATGACATGGGGGTGAGTAATTAATGACAGAATTCTCATTTGTGGGGTGAACTAACCCTTTAAATGCTCTCAACTCACCCAGAGAACGCTCTCCTGGTTAGGACATAAGGATAAATCCCAAAATTCAGGGGCTGCCATTGGAGGGGCAGTTGTTCACGCCATTTGTTGTCCAATTCATCCCCTATCAGAGCCAGCTGTCGTCCAATACGCTGTGAAACTCTGCTATTCAGACCAAAAAAGACTTGTGTGTAAAATACTGTATTGTATTTTACGATATAACATTTCTGAACAAATATTTACCTCATATCGATGGTACAGCGAGTGTTGTGGTCTACCTCACCAGGTCCAGCCTGGAGGGATGTGGCGTTTTTTCGCTGTTTCGTTTCTTCCACCATTGTGTTCTGAAAGGTGTGCGATCATGTTTATGAAACCAATTCAACCGTCTCTTGCATCACATATAACCATGCATTTGCCTAAACTCAATGTTCTATTTCCTTTCTCTGCTGCGGTTCTTTATTTTGTTTGTGCGGAGGAAGAGGACTTTGTTATTGCGTCCTGCCCTTTGTGGTCTCGCATGACCTGATCCTGTAGCTATTGCTTTCAATGAGCTACTATCACTCTGTAAACACAAAGGCCATGTGACCTGAGGACACTGGGTGTGCCTTCGTCTGTTGCTGCCATAGAACATGACATCATTGCCCATACAATCAAGTTTCGAAAAACACCTGCAGCCATAAACACAACTTCCTGTAATACTAGAGGACTCTGGTCTCTGTGGTAATAAAAAATGGAAGGGTGCAGACATGCACAGTTCACAAAGCACCATAAAGCTGACTCAGTCCTTTGGCCTTACTTTCGCTATTTGATGTTATGAAAGAGCATGTGATTATTTATAGTATAAATAGTCAACACATTTATCATTTATGAGGGTCTAGTTGGAGACAAACAAACGTGTTTTCATTCTCCTTCATGTGACTGTTGAAAACATCAGGTGTGATGCAAATGCTCATTCAAATCAGCCAAACTGCTCAAAGCCGAACAAACTGCATCTTTTTGTTTTGAACAGGTACATTGTTTATCGACATAAAACCTAAAACGGAGTGTGAATATTCTTTTTTGTGTAATTTTACATACTATTATGGGAAAATAAACCGTGACGCAGAATTTTTTGGAGACCTCGTCATCATTCTAAGACCAGGAAAACATCAAAAATAATTTGAAAAAAATCTTAATTTCTGACTTTTACATTTGTAAAAGCTTTCTTTACTACTTAATATGAACTTAAATATTAAAACTTTTTTTTTTTCATTTAAATATAAGCCAATCTTTAGATAGCTTCAAACTACTAGTTTGTATCCTCAGGCATGCTGCTGAATATTTTTGAGATATAATTGTAATATATTAATATTTGTATGTTTTTAACAGTAAGCTGTCAGCAGTCAACATGTTCCCATTTGGCTTGATAACAAAGGACAGGTGCATAATGGAAAACAAAAGCCAAGATCATACCTTGTTTGTAGATTAAAATGGACGCCGCCCTGCAACATTTCAAGATATAATGTTAATACAAGGAACATTTGTTGTTGGTATTATTTGTAATATAAAATGAATAATAAATATTTTCTCAGACTTACAGCAGCGTCCTTTAATCTCGGTCTCTTCCTGTGATGTGTCTCAGTACAGTGATCACCTGCAGCTTTACACTCAGGAAGCAGCTGTGGGTGTCACTGGCATTTCTGGCCAACAGAGGACACTAAAGGGTCTGATATCACTGCATTCATTCATTTAAACACAGATCTGGACCATTTAGATGCATGAGCTCATGTTGTAATTCAGTCTGCTGGGCCAAAAAGCAGACATAGAGGATCTGGACCTTTCTTACATTTCAAAACCCCAATGGCTTCCATCTCCTTTCTATATGTGGTAAGTATTGAGTTGTGTGTCGTTGTACTTCTTATGACCTATTTATTCATCTGCAGGACAGTTAACTTGCTTTATGGCTTTTGCTTTGCACCTAAATTACAATTTCTCTTCTTGTCCTTCACTT